ATTTATTGCTGTTTTTTTGTTTGTTTTTAGAATATTATATAAAATTTTAAGCTTGGTGCACAATAACGCTGTAACAATTACTGGAGCTAAAAGTGGAACCGAAGCTTGGTTGTGGTACACAATAACATCAACAAACTTTATATTATTTTAGACATTATTTTGCTTCTGATTACTTCATAGCTCATTATTATATTTGCTTTATAAATTTTAATCTTGCAAAATATTTAATTTAGTGGTACATAGTATAGTTCACCTCGTACGCCAAATTGCACACCGGGTGGAAAAAGTCGAGACCCCAAATAAAAATTAACTTATAAATTAAAATTACATCGTTAAAACTTCTCTATGAGAATTAACAGCTGAAAACGGTTGATGTGTAACAGGTGTCTTTAACATGACTGTGGGAAAACAGTCTATTAAGACATTAATTTTAAAAATTATTTCTCTTCAATTAAATCATTTTTATAATAATTGATTGTTGAATTTAGTACTTTGGATTGCGAATAAATTTTAGACTGAACTAATATAAAAATTAAATATTTGATGAGTGTACAAAAGAAAACAATATTTATGTTCTAATATAAAACCAAAGGAGAACGAGGTTGTAGAAGACTACTTCACCGGAAAAGCTGTGAATCTTATCACTTGCTATATTTTTCAATTAGTCCTAGATATGACTTTTATCCCAAGTTACCCTCCACCTGCTTCGCCATCTGCCTTCGTTGCAATTTTGGTAAAACACCTGACCGCAAGAATTCATCGTTCGAATCTCGACACTTTCCACAACCATGTCTTCATGTCTAGTTTCTCTCCAATCTTATCGCATAAATTTTAATGGGAGCCTATAATTTATGTTAATTCGATTTGTTTCTGGGATGATCCGTAATTAGGATTATGTGACTTTAACAGTGAAAACAAATCCATCAGTGTTCGGTTATTAGTGAACTACAATGTCGTTGTTATTAAAAAATACACTTATTAATAACGTGCATTGGCAGGTGCAACAACAGAGGCACCTGCCCCTGCATGTGGTGACCGAAACTTGACATAACCTACCCCGAGGTGTAAAACTTGGCCGCGGGGGGCCTCAGAGGGCTACTAATTTCGATCAAAGTGTCAGGCGAAAACAAGTTTTGCCGAGCATCTGGTTTCCAAATGGCATTATTTGGGATTTTGATTGTTGTTATTTTTGACCGCTAAGGAGGATAACGGACCGTTGTTTTTGTCTTGTTGGGCGATTCGCGTTTTGACACTTGAGTTATTTCGACGGCGGGAAGTCGACAATGGATGTAATTGCTTGAATATTTAAATGTATTAAGTGTAAAGGCACCTGCAGGCTCTTGTTGTTTGTTGGATTTGGCATTGCAGACGATATTTTTGTTAAAGTTAAAGCAAATTACAAGCCTGAACGCTGAAACTCTTTGGATTTATAGGAAAAATTAAAAATATTTTCTTGTTTTTTTTTTTGGAAAATCGACAATTTATTTTCAACCAGTTTATTCAATAGATACTAGGTATGTATATGAATACATACTTGTACATATCTAAGTAGGGCTTGCTTCAAGGAAAACTTTATTACGTCAATATTTTTTTTTAATTAAATATAATACTCGTAACACAAAAAACAAAAAAAAGCAGGTAATCATGAGTAGGAAGTTAAAAAAAATGGACTTTTATAAAGGCTACCATTTTTTTTTTAGTTTTTAAAAGATATTTTGACAATTAAATGTTGAAAGATTTATATGAACATTTGCATGAATTTTCTTTTTTCTAATTCCAAATTAAATTTTGATCTTCAGTTTTTCTCAAACTTTCTGAGTAGTTTAGTTTCTATTTACAACACATTCTTTTTGTATACAGGTTATCCTCACTTAAAATATACTGGGTGATTTTAAAGTATCTGCAAATATTTTAACAGGTGATAGAATAATTCAAAAGAATCAAAATAACTAAACTTGCCCTATCTGAATGTTTATAGTTTCTGAGATATAGAGGGTGCAATTGCCACTTTGGCGTTGGAAAAATTGTCAAAAAATGCAATATAAACGAAGTTTGAACTTTGGGACTTTATTCCAAAGTTTACATTACTAGTAGTGGGTGACATTTGAGGTAATGAAATTCGTTGGTATTGATTTCGTTTCGTTGATTTTTACCGTTTTCTGATTTTCTCTTCATATTAAAACTCTTTTTTCTGTGCCTGTGTTTGCTAATTTTAAATATTTTTTTAACGGTGTGATAGATTTTGAAGAGTTATATTTGTTTACAATTTGAGTTGGTGATTTGGCGAAGTTTAAGGCTGTGCTCCAAATTTAATTTTTTTCGACGAGCAAATCCCTCTGTATCTAAAAATTATAAACTATAAAAACTATAAGATAAGTTGACTTATTTTGAGCTCTACTATCACCTATTAAAAAAATTGCAAATACTTTAAAACCATACTACAACCAGGCTAACAACAAAAAAATATCTGAGAAGTTTAGGTGACTGTACAGAAACCATGACATTATTTTATTTACATATTTATAAATGGTGTTTTTTTAAATTTGGCATCAAAGCTATCCATGAAAGTTTGGTTGTGAACGAACTATCGCATTGAAAGTTATTAATCTGACATTTGTCACCTCGCTAGGTGTATTACAAATTGTGGTACGTTCACAACCCACTCATATCCCCGCCAACTGAGACGCGAAATTTAAATATACACCCGTTATAATTTTATATTTCATAATCATTTCAACTGTTGTATTAGCGACCACCTATCAAGTAATAATCAAGAAATGACATCAGTTCAGTAATTTAGTAATTGATTATGATCATGATAAGGTTAATAAGAATAATTTATGGTTTGGTCAAAGCTAAAAAATGTTGTAATTCGTTGTTATCGTTAAAAAAGGGATTCCTTAAAGTCTCTGGAATTCGGTTTCGTCCTCTAGTCGTTGTTTTTCGATAACCAGATAGCTACTGAGTGCAGATATTCTCTGATAAGGGTTTCTTAGGAACGCGTTTGTAGAGTTTCTTATCTTTGCCTAACCCTTATCAGTATACCACGTTGACCAAGAAACTTCCCGTCCTGCTGGCGTCACATTTTAGTATTCAAACCATCGTCGGTCTAGTGAGCCGAGGAGGTGGTCACGGACACGACGGCAGGGACTGCAGGCACGGCACGGGCTGTCTACGTGCGGCCTCCTTCGGCACGTCTCGACAAATCGACGACGATGTCCGCCCTCCAGGGGGAAATTGAACGATGCAGAACAATCGGTTATTTTGGCTCGGTTTAATAATGCAATAACATCTGGCCGACGTTTCACTCGGTTACTAATAATATCGAGGTGCTTACTTTACGATCAACAACACCTGGACCTGGAGACCGCTATTTCGAGAAGTCACCATCCGAATTGATCGTGCAAATCATCCACTCAACCAAAATAATCTTCCAAGAATCGCTCGGCTTTAATCGGGACTGTTTATGGGCCAATAAACGTAATTGGTTTCATGCACCGTGGATAATGAGTTTTTCCGAAGAAATGCCAAAAACAACCCGGAAAAACTTATGGGAACCAAAATCTAAGTTTTAAAAAGATTGGTTACAAGTTCCAATCTCTAATCTCTTGCAATTATCTCGATTTCTTTCGTTTGACATATCTGCTTATAACTTTCGTAGTTTAGCATCCGTAACCTAAGTTTTTTTCCACGACTAGTAGCATTCCCGTACATGGTATACTATTAAATGTGCATGTGTTTGGCCACAATTTAATTCAATCGTCGTTGCTTTTGACACTAACGTGTCTTTGAAGACCGGAGGAATTTAATATGTAGCAGGTGGCATCATTAAATATGCGATACATGTACTCGGTCACTGTTTGCAAATACTTAGGCACATCCATTATGTCTTTATGCGCCCAATATTGTTGCGAAAATCGAATGGAAGATCTTTTCCCATACATTCCTCGCAGATGGGTCGGTGAAGATGAAGCAAGAGGGGCAAAAGTGGCGCGGTTAAGGAGGTTTTGAATTTCGAAACGGTACGCCGATACATTTGAAACTTTTTTATAAGCTGTACAAAAAAGAAAGGATAAGGCGTTTTCATTTTTTTGTTAAGGCAGAGGAAAAGGTGATTGCGTAAACTGAAAAGAGGTAAAAAGACAAATTGGATAATATGCATACCGGTAATTTGGCGGGAAATAATTTTATTTAATGTTAGGATAATCTGTGCTCTGGTATAATCAAATATTAGTAGGAAGGAAATTAGAAATAAACAAAGTAAGAAAAAAAATAGTTAATTACTAGATTAAGACAAACTCGGGTAATATACTCGTAGAGGTTGATTCAAATATGATGCCCCAAATAATATTCGCGCGACATATTTTAATCATTAATATTACATTTGTTATAATTCTACCAAAAATGAATTATCGTTTTTTGAATAGGTACTGAAATAATGCTTTTCCAGTACCAAAACTACATATGGTATACTCGTATAGGTATGGTTGTTCACAAACGATAGAGTGAATGAAAATCTAAACGAGTTTCAAAGTATCTTGAAGAATTATCCTGTGAAATCTGAAAGCTGTGAAATATGCATTTATCTAAGATTATTATTGTTTTTCTTATTTTGTCTTTTCTTCCGGTTGAACATGACATATTTAATTCTCAGTGATAAAACCTTTTCCTATTTATGTAATAGTTGTTTACGTCTTAGCTTCATACAACATATTTCCAAAGAAGTCATCAACACTGGCTTAGTTCCTATCAAGTTTCCAATTATCTTTTATAGCCACCTAAAGTGTTACGCAGGCTTTAAAATTTTTTACTTATACTAATAATATTGAACTCTAATTTATCTAAGTGGATCGTAGAATTCCTATGATTTTGCTATTTTAGAGTTAATAAAGCCGCGAGTTCTTGTTTAAGTGGTCATAATTCGTCAATTATGACTCGGAAAAATCTTCAAAGCTTTAAAATGTCAAAGAAACGTTTTCAATTTCTCATGTTTTTTTCAGATATACCGACCCAGGTGCCGCCACTGACGCCGGGTACGAACAAGACCATGGCCGAGGCGCTGAAAGCGTCTTTCGCATCGTGGGAAAAGGAACAAATACGATTAAACATTACCAAAGGTGAGTTCGGTCCTGTGTTAGAAAAAAGTCAAAGTTTATTTTATTTTTTTAATTACATAGTACTTGTATGTACATTTTTGAGGATGGTAGTGTGACGTATTTCAGAACGGGCCTCAGGGCCGCAAAGGTATGAATCCGTCACTGACGGCGACATGATGAAATTCCTCTGTCAGAGGCACACAATAAGTCAGAAAATATCAAAGGGTGATTATTATAATATGAAACGGTTGAATCGATGCAACCGTGCATATAACTAAAAAAAGATCGTAATGGACGCGTGGGCGTAATAGAGTGAGATACAATTGGTGACCACTCGACCGAACACTGTATCAAAGTAAAAATCTGTAATTGCATGTGTTTTAACAATGGCGAGCTGCGGAGTTTCGGATTGAAAAAATCCTTGTCTGTGTTTCAGCGAAGAGTGCCATATCGTATATTATGCACGTTTCACAATTCAAAAGTTGCTGCTTATTGACCGTAAACGAAAAATGTGCAATCTAAGAAGAGTTGGTTTTGTAATCTATATTTTGTGTTTCGAGGGTCTCTGCAATGAGTGTTTTACATAAAGCCTTCGTATGATTAAGCAAACAACGCGTCTGACATATTTATATAAAAAATGAACGACGGAAGGCTTTTATTATACGCGTGATGGTCTACTTTCATGACTATAACAATAGCTGTAGATGGACGATTGCTAATGGGCCCTAAATGCAGGGAGCGTACAATGAAGCTTGACTATACGGTGATTGTTTCACCTTAGAATTTTGAATTTGTCTGGTCTAATGTAGAAAAAGATCCCCATATCCCAAGTGGGGGGGAGATTTATTCAAAGGGACTGAATTACAAAATTCTATTAATTAATAATTTAGTAAGACATGCTGACTATAAAATAATGTAAGCAACTAATGTGGGAATAGAAAAAAAAAGTTTTGGTTTGAAAGCTGATCCTTGGGGAATACTCCTCCAGCGTGTTGAAAAGGAAGCAAACTATTAAGATTCTTAATGTAAAGAATCGTTTTAATGACAACAAGCATTTTATCACGGTGACAAATTACGAGAAGGGGCATATATTTATTATCTAATTAATAAAAATTCTGATGCATATAATTTTTTAATTTTTTTTGTAAAAAATAGGTAAAGGAGGAAGGAAATCATTAAGAATGTCATCTTAAAACTTGTTTCTGGTAGTAATTTATTAAAGGAAAAGGTAATAAAAAATGAATCGCTGAATATGTGAAAGGTGGAATAATAGGTCCGAAGGGTGATAACTTCCGAAGCTTTCTAGGAGTGTGAAAAATTAAGCTGCTTTGTATGGTGTTGTTTATTTTGAGTCGATTACGAAAGTTTTAAATCAAGTGAGATAGTTGATAGCTGTTTAAATTACATATCTTCAAGTTATGTTTTCCTGTTTTTTCAATCAAAGTAACACCTTTTTTATAGAATCAGTTAGGAAATGATAAGTTTTATGTAAAGAATTAATTCTTAATTACATAAAATAAATACTAGTATAATAATTATAAAAGACAAGCTAACTTATTTTGTTTTTTTTTTCACAATCTGGAAACGTCAGAATAAATTTTCAACACTTCTGTTAATTTTTTATGTCGTTATGTCACAATTACAATTTTCTGTTATCAATATGCGGTGCATTTCTAGGAATATTAGAAATAAAAATAAAAATGTAATAAAAATTTATTAAATTAAATTGATAAAACGATATATTGAGAACTAACCAAATTGTGATTACATTAGTTCTCAGAACACTTTTGGAAGTCTTGTTTGTATCTTTATTATTTTAAGTATACCTAATAGGTACAAGACAAGATTTACTCGTAGATATTTTTTGAGCAACTTATGTTTCAAAAATATTGTTTAGTTTGAAAAAATTAAAAATTTTCGATCTCTGGTTTGTTTCGGGACTTCTTAAAATTATAACTTTAAATATTCCGGTCGTTGTTTTGTCGACTTAATGGCTTGACTGAATAGTATTTCCTTCCATAAATTCATCTATTTTTATTATAAATTTGCACCGAATATAAAATATTCTAAGGCAATAAAAATAATGTTTGTTTCTCCAGCACATCGACGGAAGCAATAAACCATCCTAACAGCTCATTTTTTCGTAATTCTCCCAAACTTACCAGACTCCATCTAATATCCGTCATTATGTCATATCTGAAACCGCGATGTAAAACCACGTCTCATTACCTTGTCGCCTTATGTTTTACACTCGCCAGACAATGGCAAAAGCATCTATAGTTGACGTCATGTTCACGGTAAGGCGACAGTGTCCTTACAAAGCACACACTGTTCCGCGAATGGTATTGTCAGTTCGTTGGACAGCATTGTTTCAAATTCCAGTACCTAGCGAGCGAAAATTTCGATGTTGATGCGGAAATCGGCTGAAAATCATTATTTCCTTAGTGGGTGTTTACACCTGACGTTCCGGCTTGAGCCGATGTTTACTGCCAAATATTGGAAAATCAAACACATTTGGTGTGTTAGCTCGGCCATTCGAATGTTGATGGCATCAAAAGAGCCGCACTGTGCTGTTGACATTTTTAATCTCGACACGGTTGAACCCTTTCGGTGGGGGAAGATCGCGTGATTTTATTTGGACACTGTGTAGTTGAGGATTGTGTTGGGCCACAGCGGATGCTGTATCGTTACACTTTGATGGTTTTCTATAGAAGCGGAAACTTTCGCCGACCCGCGCCTATCTGCCATTTCCTGTCCATCTGATTTAGAACTGATTGTTTGATAGGTTAATTGGCACGGAATCGATATACCGTTGTGTGGAAATATATGCCGAAGACGCTTGAAGGAAAACGGGGAAGTTTACCACTAATAATGATTAATGAACTAAATTGGTGTTTACCACTAATTGGTGTTTAATTATGTAGCATATATACCCCATACGAATTATGCTTTTATGTCGTACTGTGGAAACACTATTTACTTGAAAAGGTTTTGCTATAAAACTAAATTTTTATATTTTTTATAAACTGTCACAAATATAAAAATAAAACATTATGTCTGAATACAAGGTTTAAATTCATTAAAAAAAAAAAAATACATTCGTTTTAACTTGTGGTATGCCGCATAGTTGATATTAAACAAGTTGTATCATAATTTATTTCACATTTGTACAAATATATTTATATTTCAAGTATTTCTTTTACTAAGCGGTGACATCTTGGGTTAAAATGCAAAAAATTAGTAACAACTTAGAAGTCTCGTTTATAGTGTTCATAAATGTCTATAGGCTTGTTTACTGTGACGGTATTCAAAAGTAAAATGGCGCTTATTTTACATTTTACTGCCTTGTCACTTATTGATTATTAATTTAGTTTTTTTTTTAATTTAGCATTCTACCTAGAATAATGAAAATGTTTTATTAGGATTTTGTTTATATTGCATTTTTTAACGTTTTTAAAACTGAACGTATATTTTTACTAAAAAACCAGTTATAATACAAGAAAGGGTGACTTTTCTTAAGTTAAACTAGTACTAGTTTTTTTTTATTTTTAAGGTTTTTTAGGGTTGATGATTTGAGTATCAAAGTGTGAACACAGCGTGATTTTCGATACATCACGCTTTATTAGACTTTTGGTACTGCTATTACGTTTTTTTTTTGGCATTTTCAACCACAAATCTTCTCCATATCCTGCTTAAGTTTCTTATAAATACGATGTCTGAGCAAATATTTTATTGCAAAAAGTCGACAATGAGTAATGGATATCAAATATGATTGGCTTGCTTTGCCTTTAAAGGTTAACAGGACAGGCAATTTATTTTGACAAAGTTGCTTTTGCACGTCTAGTCCATTAATTTTTTATTTTGAAACATTTTGGTTGATGAATTCTTTCAACTCTATTCTTGAGAATAAACTAATATTAAACTAATATTTATAATTAGGGAAGTTAGAGTTTAAATGCAATTACATTTGATTAAGAAAGAATCTTTGTGCCAAATTTCAGATTTACATAATATATTCTTTCAGAAAACAAATATTTATAGCTGCACTAGAAATTAATTTATTTAGATTGCGAAACTTAATCTATAATGAATAGCTGAACCAATAATATGGTTTTAAACTGATATTTTTCTATTATAACGTATTCGACCTCAAAAGAATGTTTGTGATTGTATTTTTAGATTTGAAATTGTTTTATTTTTGAAAATCGTGTTCTCTTTGATTGCATTTAGGGGTGGTAAAATTTAAAAAAGTTGCAAATGTGAATAAATTTTTAATAGCTTGTCTACCTACAAAAAGTATTGTAGTATTGTTTTTATTAGCCGTAACTACAGCATGAGAACACACTATTGTCTCGTTTACAATAAAATGAGTTCGTTGAAACATCATCGTGAATCTAATAACATTCAAAAACGATTTGAAGGACACTTCTATGGAGCCATTTGTTTTCCCAAACGACTTGTCTGAATCAAGATCGATTTGTCTTTTTATGTGAATCATTATAATCCGAGAAAGATCCGTTTTATTTGATCAAGTCAACATTGAAACAAAATAACTTTACAGCTCTTTAACGAGTCAACAGAACATTCAGACTTTTACAGCTCTTTGTTAACAATCAGTCATTGATGATCAAAATATAAACAAAGTGCCGAGCGCGTCTATTTACAAAAGGAAAAGGAGTGGTAATACAAATTCGCTAATACCTTGGCTGTATCAAGTCGCGTTATGGCCACTTTCCTCCAATACATCACTGATGACTGGCCCTTTTTTCCGTCGGTTCGAGAAAAGCACCTGTGATTGTTTTATAATTCGTGTTTACGTCTTTCATCTTCTAGTGGAGATAATTGGATGTCGACCACGTTATTTAATGACGACATAAGTCTCTAACGATCGGTGAGCACGAAACGCGTTTACATCTTTACATTTTTCCAGCCATAGGATGATATACAAGCCTGTTGTACGTAATTAACTGCTACTGATGCGTAAATGATTGAGGAATGCATATTGTTTATGGCGAAAAGTAAATCAGAAGCCCTCGAGGCGCGAAGATCGACACGTTTCACATTTTTCTCCTCTAATGAGAAGATTCGTTTGGAATTTTTACTAATAACAATTTTTTGTTTATATACTTTTCTAGTATTCATCATTATTTGACAAGGTAATTGTCGCCTGAAAAAAACTAATAGCGATATCGGATTAGTATTATTTAGGCGTAATTAGGACACTAAATGAAATTTTTTCGCCAGCTTCGGTAAAAACAACCATTTGTTAAGAAATAATAGTAGCACAAATGCCCCGGTCGGTACTAATTTGTTCCAACAATGGAACTGAGTCGCAAATTGCTTAATATTATTTTTTATTTCGGCTAATGCGATTTAATTGACGTAAAAGAAGCCGAATGAGAGTGTTTAATTGATGCAACTTTCTCTGATTCTTCTCCCCGGTGATAAGCTCTCCGCTTCTGTTACCACTAAGTACTATTTAATTCGGTGCCAATCAAAATTGATTACGTTGATATAATCGTTCGTTGTGAAACGTAACACGTAGCTAATTCCATGTCTATATCGAGATAATTTTGCTAGTGATGAAGCAGCGCTTCGTGGAATTTTGATATCTGATAAAAGTTGATATTCGGGAAAATAGACAACGCGAAGCTCTCATCTGAATATTAATGATGTTGACATTCAATCTTTAGCAGTCTTTCAGTTTTCTCCAAAGAAACTTGCCAAGGCATTGCCAAAAACAGTCCTTAATTCCTTGGTCTCTCTATGCAAATGTTCAGATAAAAGCTTGATTTTGTTGATTGATGATTTGCAAGTAAAAGTTGCATCATTTTTGCAATAAAGTTAGGTAATTTTCTAGGGCAATAAATTTTCGATCTACATTATCTCTATATGAGTGCTACTGATATATCAAAATAAGGTCACGACTGTCCTACTAATAAAGAAACTATAACATCTTACATAATTTTTCTTTTTTATTGGATAATACAGGTGGCACTCTTACAATTTTATTTTTATTAGTGTATGCTAATAGTAATTTATAATTAGAATTATTTGCTTATTGTGCTCATTAACGTAGAACTTACACATTTTTCTTTAGGCGGTTTTTATCTCGCAGAGTATTACGAAGATCAAGTGTCGAGAAAACATTTTTTTGACTACATGCATGTTTTTTTGTAAATTGTATCCATTTCCTTGTATACTGAAAATGCACAAACTTTTTTGGACTTCCTAAATTTTGCATGTATAATAAACTAAAGTATACAGTTGATGTGTGCTTCACTAGCTAACATACCTATTAACTTATGGGTGATTATTTAATTTTTTTTTATTTATTTTTTAATTTCTATTGATCATAACCTTTCATTCCTTAAGTTATGTATATAAGTTACTACTCATTCTGTAGATATATCATTAAAAAGTTTTTTTCTTAAGTAATAGCTAAATTTCTTTTTTTTGATGGAATTTAGTTGACTTGTGTTCAAGTAATAATTAATCAAGTAGCAAAAATTGCGTACAAAAATTTTTACCATTGCGTTTGTGTCCTACGTTTTTTTTAATAAGAGCTTGTAATTACAAAAAAATGATTTTTAGGAATATTTTATTTACCTACTGCATTGTGTTTATGCAGAAATTATCTCTTACGAGTACAAGTTGTTTAAATTTGTTATATTGATAATTTTTATATTTGACTTTTTTTTCGTTAAAATTTGACTCAACTTTACAAATTTTGTTGTTTTTTAAAATAATAATCTTTGAGCCATTTTTTAAATTGCTTATTGGATTCTTTTTTATTGTTTTCAATTTTTCCAGATCCGCGTCAATGGACAGAGAACCACGTGGCCCACTGGCTGCAATGGGCCGCGAAAGAATTCTCCCTCGAATGCATCCCTTTGCATCAGTTCCGGATGAAGGGCAAAGACATCTGCGCCATGGGCAAAGACGCGTTTGCCGCTCGCGCTCCAGCGTTCGTCGGCGACATCCTCTGGGAGCACTTGGAGTTGTTGCAAAAAGGTACGTCATTGTGTCACCAGTAATACCGGCAAATGATAGTCAATTACTCGAATCAACCACCGTGTAGAAGACGCACGCCAGGAAAAAATCTTTTTATGGGATTTAACGTGTAATTTGGTTCAGAAAACGAATATTGTAATTTCCATTAATTTGATTGACGTCGTATCGGTCGATCAAGGCGAAGATAACGTAATTTGATTCTAATGTAGGTTTTTAGTTGAATTGTTGCCAATTAGAGATGATTTTTCGTGCAGATGTGGAGAAAGAACGCTCATTGACGAACAATGTTGTCCAAGGGAACATTTACAGCCCGATGTGCGTTCCAGAGTTGAATTTTTTGGATTATCAGGGATCGATCCTTCCGGGAGAGGACCGGAAACCGATCACGATCACTCCGGCGAGCAACAGTACGCCCACCTCAACTGCTCCCACCAACAACAACTTCCTCCACGACGGTAAGTCCTCTCACATCTTTATTTTCTTAATCAATACATATTTTTTTGTATATAACGAATAGGTATTATTTCAACAACCAAAGGTCAATAACTCGTAGACACTGTTCGTATAAACAAAAGATTTATTAATGCACAAAAAAAGCAGAAATATGAGTATAAAATGAACATAATGCTACATAATACAATAAAATTATTACGGGTACAATAATAAGTCCTCTTATTTTTGAGATAATGTTTAGTTAGAATGTATACGTCGTGGTTGAGTGCTTTAAGCAAAATGCAACAAAGTTAACTGAAAAAATTAAAGTTCAGTCCGTATTTATTATTTTTTACAGAAATATGTTCAATCTGTTGAACAATTTTATTTAATTTACGAAAGTAAAGTTGAAATAAATTAAAGATCTCATTATAATAACTTTAGGCAAGGACTGATACTTGACTGAGATAATAATCTATTTTAATAGGATATCTAAAACCATAAAAACATTTCTTGCTTAAATCGCAAAAACTAAATAAAACTGAAAAAGACTAATAAAACTAGAATAAGTTGTTTATAACTTATTTGTATTTATATTACAAGAACCGTCACTTATGTACTCATAGTTTTGTGAAACAATATGTGACTTTTATTTCAAAATTGTTGCTGAATGAGTCAAGATTTTGCATTTATTTGCTGTAACAGTACTTCGGTATTTAATGGAATAATTGTTTGTGTTTATCCACCCATAAAAATTTGTCTTCATACTGTTTGTCTATAAAGGTTATACTTGTATGACAAGGCCTTGAAAAAATACGTAGATCCATTTTGATGTTAGATTGAGCTATTAAGTATGTTACTCATGATGGAACAAATGGTAGTAATCTTTTTGGTCTCTTTCTAATAGCAACGTTATTTTTTGCAATGGTCCCTTCTTGGTGACCCATAATTGGTACATTTGCTAGTTAGTGGGAAAGAACACATTTTGTAATGAATCACTTTTTTATGTAAATCCCCGATTACAATTTCAAATGAGCAAAAGTACACGGTTCTAATTTTAGTGTTCAGCAGTTCGTAACGAGTGTGTCTCTGTCGAGACCCATTTTTTTCGAAAAAATGCGACGTAACAAAGGATGCCGAGTACGAAATTATTAATAAATCGCAAAAGTCGACAATCACACACTTTTAGCCGTATTAACCTGGATTAGGCAAGAGCAAAACTTTCGGATCCACCAGCGTGACCGCTGTTCTTTTTTTAATTGCGCAAGCTAATAACACATGGACGATACTCATCAGTTATTAAAACGAGATTTCGCGTTGTGTTAGAGGGTGGGTCCGAGGTCGCGTTTCTTATCTGCAAACGCATGAAGAAACCATTACTAAAACACACAAGCGAAAATCAACAGACCGGACTCTTCGTAATCTATTTCATAGACTCAGAGGATGGGTCTGATAGTGAAAGTCAGATAAGGCGGGTATTGCACATCATGTTCTTTCGGACATGGTTCGCTACCAACAATGCCGCCACTGCTCTCCATTCAAGACGCCGATCTAGTAGTTTCGTGGGTGTGCTAGCCCCATGGTGCTTCAGCATGGCAGTGGTGTTCAGAGGTAAAAATTTTGTTAGAGGTTTTTCCTGTTGTGCGAGGTTTTCCGGCGATACTAACGATTTAACCGGACTTTCCGGGATGTGTCGCCCACGTTGCGAAACGACCGGAATCTTACGGGAACTGTTGTAAAGTGGACAGGTTTATTCATTAATCGCTCCGACACTGAATTTATATTTCTCGATTGATATCCTGTGTGCATAAGCAAAAAAGCTCCCATGAGATAAAAAGGAAATTGGATTGTCGCTTCCTTTTCAAAACTCGACTTACAACTAATTAAACGGTTATTGGTTTATTATTAACCAGTCGCTCATTTGTCCTGCGATGACCGTGAATTAATTAATTTTTTATACTGACAACAGGATGTTTGCTTTTACCACCCATCGCATTAATATCAATTTGTTTATTCAAATCGACCGCCAAACAGAGGATTTTTTCACATTACTTTCGACTAAATATAGCATTTTCTAATTTTGTGGGAGAATTTACGGTTTCTATATTACTTATGACTGACTTAAATTTGCCTTATTTCAACATTTAACTTTTAAAGAATTTTTATTGACGATATTACGGACATTGTGTAAGGGTTTTCTAATGCTTGATTTATAAACATGTATTTTTAAATTGATTAACAAGTAACATTAATAACAAACAGTAGGTAATTGTTTCATCTTAAATAATAATTATTATGTTTTTGGGGGTAGATTTTTCAACAACTTAAAAAATTTATAACGATATGTACCTATAGGAATTAATTTTGGATCATCCTGTATCGTACCATTACAATAACATTTTCATATATCAAAATTGTTAATGTTGAAATCATTATTAAAAATTATGGAAAATTAAGGTGTGTCCACAACATTGCCATGTATTTAATCGTATGTTCATATTAGTGCGACATATTAATGTCGTTTTTCTGAATAATAATCTTTTCAGTCCCTATATTACTAAATTATTATGAATGATATTGGAGGCAAAATAACCTAGCCAAATAATGTGGTCGTACTTTTTACACGTTGTAAAAGCATTTCCTAATCAACCAAACTACTACAAAAATTGTTTTCATTTCTTTTACATAATATTGTGGATATATTTTTGAGCAAAGCAACAAGATACGTTTTTCACATATATTTTCCTTCGGGTTAAAAAAATGAATTCAACAAACGTTAATTGTTATGACTTGTGTTGTAATGAAGGACAAAATGAAGATGATTCATTTGTATTGCATACATAGAAACAGTTTCATTATGAATACATAGTGTTATGATGCTTTAATAATTTTTTTTTAACAGAAAACTTAATCGAATCCAATTAACAAAATATTAAATTTTACATTTGAATTTCAATTTGATTCAATTGTTTGTTTGAATGTCAGTATGGTATTTTTTTATTTTTTTACAAAAAATGTGAAACTTTTTTGATGAATCATCGCCCTTTCGGCTTTTTCAGGTAATAGCAATTCATACGTACAAACATACATACAAACATACATATAATATATACGTCATTTATTTAATTACGGTTTATAGTAACTTAAATTCTTAGAAAAGATATTTTTCGTAAAAGTTGAACCCACACCTTCCTGACCTTTTCTTTTCCTGCTGTAAAATACTTGTCCTCGTCGTGGGGTTTCAGCAGCGTTTACTTTCAAGCTCCGTCTGTTTACATGTGAACACGAAATGTTTGTATATCGCCCGATAAGAATACACAAATGCGTCAAAAAAATCTGGGAAAAGAGACCGGAAACAAAGCCTTTCGCGATAAAAATACTGATGATGTGGTCGAACAATTAACGTCAACTTTTAATCAAGAAGTGACCGCGTTTGATAGCGGTTTTGCAGCACTGAATAAGTTCCATTTTGTTTTTTCACTCTCAGTCGCGTTCGCAATCTGCACTGGTGTATCAACAAGTGTTTATCTCTTCGACAACTACTAAAACAGAAAGATAAGACTCAGTCGATAATCCATTATCATCTTTTGACACTCGTGTTAAACACTGTTTAGTACACAAAAGCGACGATAGGCCTATCATAATTTGTCTTGTAAAATAAAACATTAATTCAATAGAGGCATTTAGTCCAACTAACACTAATTGAAACAAATAACGCCAATTAGCAGCGACGGCGTGACTGCTACCCTCACCCAAAACCATTATCCACTCAAAATCTCGACTAGAGAAATCTCGAAAAAATTCTATCACAAATACTGATAAAAGGCTCGGAGAGAGAAAATTCAGTAGAAATAGAAGAAATGTCATTGTTAATGCTTTTTGCACGTGCAAAATGGGCAAACAGCCAAATACTTGTAAAACCAATAAAACAGGAAATGTCAACATGTTGGCAAAGATTGTGAGGCAAAATATGAATGTAGCACTATTACAAGGATTTTTGAACATTATCACAGCTTTTGTTTTATTTTCTGGGACGTTTTTTTATTTATTTTATCACTACCTAAAGTTAAATAATGGTGTTGTAAAGTCACCACAGAAGGAATGGCTCGTTCCGTGGTTGTTGTAAATAAGAACTAATTTTTTTATATAATTTTCTATTATAAATTATAAGTTTTGTAACTAATAATAAAATATGTGTAATGACTTAATGAGAAATGTAAATTTATCAATTTATTTGTCTTTCTATAAATTTTGAAGAAAATATAAATTAATTTGTGCTAAAAAATGTCATAAGGGAGACATTTCTGAGAGACAATCTGCAGATGTTCCTTCCTTGGTTTGCTGAAGTGTTGCGCTTCAGTGTCTGCTCCTAGACAAGGGCAATTATTGTATTAACGACCCTCTGGGCCAATTATCTGCTGTAAATCTTGTCGCGTCCCCATAAAAATCGTTGATGTAGGGCCCTCAAGACCGAATTTCGTACTAGTTTCTTGATAAACTCGAAAGAACCCTTCCCTTTTGAATCGGGGTAGAAGACAGTTGTCCAACGAGGCGCACGTGTTCGAAGATACCCCTCGTCATCCAACACCACTCGGGCCACTTCCTCTCTTTTGGCATGGGGGGCCGAACTCGCTATGGTTTCCATTGTGAAGACGCGGGGTAGCACACACACTCTCCTCTTACCAGCACGTGGAGTGAAGGAATGCGCTGTTTATGGACTTTGTATTGGCTTACGTGATGGAGCGGAAATGGGTGGTTTCAAGAGGAGACTTGATTGGGGATGATAAAGGTGCCGTTTTAATGACGTGGACAAGTTGCTGGATTGAAACGGTTTATGCAAAATCTGGGCATGGAGCCAACGCTTTTTTAGATTTCATTCACTTAACCGAGCCACAGCCAATAAAATCAGGATTATAAACATGCTGGCAAGGATTGTTAAAGGCGAAAATATGGGCGTTGAGCTCCTCCTTCCATGATTTATGCTTTGTACAGTTCTAGATACATTTTTATTTATTTTTTCTGA